AATTGCACAGTCCAGGACGACTAGAACAGCCTGTGATCTGTATAAATGGTGCTTCCAGGAACACGCAACTCTGACCACCTCAAATTAGTAAATAACAAGGCATAAGTAGTGCTAATAGGTACAGAGTTAACTCAAACAGAAGCTAAAGTTGAAAGCTGAAGTTGAGAATTAAAGAGGAGATTTTTTTTCTAATGGACATGTTACCTAAAACATACAGAATATGTGCTATGCACCAAGCACTGTGTTCATTAACTACCATATTCCTAATCTCTGTGTACAAAATCTCTGTAATTTATTATTGTGACCATTTTAAAGATGGTGGAATTGAGGCTCAGATTGAGTAAGTGGATACACCCATAGTTTTTTTTTTTTCTTCCATTTATTTTATTGCATTTTAGGTTTTGGGGTACATGTGGAGAACATGCAAGATTGTTGCATAGGTACACACGTGGCAGTGTGATTTGCTGCCTTCCTCCCCATCACCTATATCTGGCATCTCTCCCCCTGCTATCCCTCCCCAACTCCTCACCCCCCACCGTCCCTCCCCTATTTCCCCCCAACTGACCCCAGTGTGTAGTGCTCCCCTCCCTGAATGTGTTCTCATTGTTCAACACCCGCCTATGAGTGAGAACATGCGGTGTTTGATCTTCTGCTCTTCTGTCAGTTTGCTGAGAATGATGGTTTCCAGGTTCATCCATGTCCCTACAAAGGACACAAACTCATCGTTTTTGATGGCTGCGTAATATTCCATGGCAGAGCACAACCTTGCAAACATGGCTAACTCATTCCTAAATCAGGGCTTTTATTCTCTACAAGACATGAGATATAACAACTAACATTGATACAATTTTAAAACAGTTTCACATATACTCTTTCTTAATTCTTACCACAAGGCATGTGGATTTCATCACCCCCATTTGACAGAGAAGCTAATTGTGGTCAACAGAGATCAAATGAAAACCCAAGGTCTTGTAGTAGACTATAGAGCTGGGCCTCAAATCTAGGTCTTCGGCCCTCCAACTACATGTACATTTTATGTCCTGTTGCTTTTCTAGTTGCCTTCATACCATGAAACAAAGTAAGACTTAAAGGTATTTTGCCTCTTTAGGTAAATCACTTAGATGAAAGTCATATTAACCTCATTACCACTTTACTCATCTATAAATTGAGATTAGTTTTTTCTGCCTGATCTACCACTTAGTTAATGCATGTGCCATCTTGTAATATGTAAAATATTCTGCAAATAGTAGGTACTAGTTTTTGCACCAACATCATTCCCATCATTAATAGGAAGAATCCATGTATGGGATATTTTTAAAAGCCTAAGGTAAGGTGTTTGTGCAGATGGAGTGGCTAAGAAGGGAGTAAATGCCAAATTGACCCTGACCTGAAAGAAAAAAAAAAAAAAGCCATGAAGAGTAGAGTAGAAAAGGAGCCTAGTCAATAGGCTCAAGTTCTATAGACTCCTGTTAATCATATTCAACTAAAAACAGTCTGTAGAGAACACTCACTCTCCACTATACAGCTCCATCTCCAGAAAATGCATGGCTGAGCATCCCATACCTTTACTTAAAAACCCTACATGGATCTTAAGAAGAAAAAAAGAGTGGTAGTGGAACAACTGGAAATCCAAAAGAAAAACCTCATATCATACATAAATTAATTTCATCTACGTCACAACTAAATGGATACCTTAAACCTATAATTCTTCTGGAAGACCAAGCAGGATATCTTTGTGACCCTGGAGTAGGCACACCTGGCCAAAGCTTTCTAGTGTCTTAGAATGACCAAAGACAATTATAGAAACACACGAAAGTAAAGGTTTAAATTTCCTCCAAATGGACCAGCAAAGCAACTCAGAGTTTCGAAGCAACTCTAATCAAAACTGCAGCAAGTTTTCTGTTTGTTTGTTTTTGTTTCAATGGAAACTGACAAGCTGATTCTTAAATGCATATGGATAAACAAAGGTCTGTGAACAGACATTCTGCTGAAAAGAAAAGAGTTGAGATTTCACCTAATAAAAAAAAAAAATCATCCTCATCCTGAAGCTATAATCATCAAAACAATATGGTACAGCATGAAGTTAAGGAAATTGACAAAACAGAGTAAAACTATGCCACATAGATAAGGAAATTAGATATATAACAGAAAGGACATATTAAGCTGCGAGAAAACAATGAAACTAATAACTGCAGGTTTTAAAAATGGAAAAATATAAACATGGAACCTCTTTTCAATTTACATACTAAATTCAACTTCAAGTGGCATTCAAATGTCAAATGAAAAATTTCAAAATTCTGTTGTAAAGTTTAAGTAATTTAGAAAGAGGAAATGGTTTTCTTAAGACACAAAATATGCTCTACATTGAAAAAGATGATGAATACTATTACATTAAATAAACAACTTATAATTATCAAAACAAATATTTAAAGAGTAAAAATGCAGCCAGATGTGGTGGCTTAGGCCTGTAGTCCCAGCTACTCAGTAGGCTGAAGCGAGAGGATTGCTTGAGCCCAGGAGTTGAAGGATGCAGAGAGCTATGATCATGCCAGTGCACTCCAGCCTGGGCAATAGATCAAGATCCCCATCTCTAAAAAAATTAAAAAATTAAAAAACAAGAGTGAAAACAAGCTACAAATTGAGGATAAGATATTAACAACATATATAACTAATAAAGAGTCCATAGCATGTTATGTAAACAAATCTTACAAGTCAATAAGAAGAACTTAAGTAACCCAGTATAAAGTGAGCAAAAAACATGAAAGGTTTTAATGGAGGAGGAAAAGCTTATGGGCAGTAAACACATAAAGAAGTACTCCACCTCATTAATAATTAAAGAAATGCAAATAAGGGTTATAATGACAAAAATATGTAACAATTGACAATGTCACAGTCTTACAACACTAACTCCAAAGAGGTGGTAAACCAATAGAATTTCTAATATGTTTCTAATAGGAGAGTGATATTAAGAAAACAATTTGGAAGTATCTATTAAACATTCACATGTATGGGATGGAGCAATTCCACTCCTAAGACTATACCCAGAGAAACCTTCAACCATGTGGACTCAGGAGATACATACCAAATTTTAATAGGAAAACAGTACAAAATGGAGGAGGGGAGAGGAGTGACTCACATGCCAATAAAAACAGTGGTGGATAAAGTGTGGTATATTCAACAACAAAATATTAAACAGTAGTGGAATAACTTAATTATTTCTACCTACAACATGGATAAATCTTAATTTAAACTTTTTTTTTGAGACAAAGTCTCACTCTGTCACCCAGGCTGGAGTGTAGTGGTGCGATTCTGGCTCACCACAAAGCTTGAAAACATTATGCTGAGTGAAAGAAACTGGTGACAAAAGACAACATATTTTAGGATTGTATTTATATGAAATATGATGTACAGAATAGGCAAATCCATTGAGATGGAATGTAGATTTGTGGTTGCCTGGGCTGTCGTAGATGAGAAGACTGAGGACGACTGCAAAGAATATAGAGTTACCTTTTGAGGTGATAAAAATGTTCTAAAATTGATTGTGGTGATGGTTGTATAACCACATGAATACAACACTAAAAACATTAAATTTTATATATGTGGGTAAATTGTTCGCTATACAAATTATATTTGAATAATGGGGTTATCAAAAAACGGGGCAAGAAAATAATAGACATAAAATTAAGGGGAGAGTTTATTTGGAGGTGGTAGCTGGAACGATAGAAAGAAGATGAATAAGTAAACTCATATACGTAACTAGAATGGTCTAGTTTATTATTATTATTATTATTTTGAGACAGAGTCTTGCTTTGTCACCAAGCTGGAGTGCAGTGGCACGATCTTGGCTCACTGCAACCTCCGCCTCCCAAGGTCAAACGATTCTCGTGCCTCAGCCTCCCAAGTAGCTGGGATTACAGGCATGTGCCACAGTATAGTTATTTATTAAGATTTGAGTTCATGGCTGCTCTTTATATTAACAAACACATACATACACCCTTATCTGTTAACATAAAATAAAAGAGGACTTTCTTTACATGAACCAATGAAAATAATTTGTCTACAAACCAAACATTATGATGAACACAATTCTATAAAACAGGTTCATTTTTAATATAATTAACATCTACCTTGTTATATTTTATGAATCAATCTCAGTATACAAAACCAGATCACTAAATCAAATGTAGTTAATTCTGTTAAAGAGAAAAAAAATGGGCCAGGCACAGTGACACACACCTGTAATCCCAGCACTTTGGGAGGCCAAGGCGGGCAGATCACGAGGTCAAGAGATCAAAACCATCCTGGCCAACATGGTGAAGCCCCATCTCTACTAAAAATACAAAAATTAGCTGGGCATGGTGGTGCACACCTGTAGTCCCAGCTATTCAGGAGGTGGAGGCAGGAGAATCGCTTGACCCTGGGAAGTGGGGTTACAATGTGCCGAGATCCCACCACTGCACTTCAGCTTGATGACAGAGTAATACTCTGTCAAAAAAAAAAAAAAAAAAAAAAAAGAACAGAGAGAGAAAAATGTACTTTTACTACTTAAAAAATGAATGGCATTAATCTCTAAAATCTCACTCAACCAAGGTAAAAACAAACTGCATCTGTGTTAATTCCCTGACTGTTCCTATCTACCCTGTATTTATATTTTATTTTAAATCTACCTGGTTCATTTTCATTTACCACTATAGTCTCAATCATGATACAGACTATGGGGAAAGGGAAAAAAAGAGCAGTGATAGAAACAATGTTGGCTAAAAGCTGACACATAAAGACTGGTGGTGGAGTAGAGATTGGGAAGAGTGTTATTAGATTACATAACATTGTTTTAAGTAATCTCACAAAATATCTAATTTTAAAATTTTTATTTTGTTATTGATAATTCTTGTAACTTTGAAATATCAGTTTTAAGTTTACCTTTTGGGTTGTTTGGGGTTTGGTTTTTGGCTTTGTGAAACTTCTCCTTACTCTCCTAAGTGTGTTTGCTTCTCTTTAAGGCTTCTACGGTTGGAAGGAAAGAAAGGAAAGACAATACTTTCACTTTGGCACTTCTACGGCAAAATTACAACCCCCTCATATGTGATATAGAAGTTTCAAGGAAAACATGAAATTCAAATCTGAAAGCCAATTTCAGCAAACCACTCCAAAGGTTAGTTAAGCTTCATTTTTGCATCATTGTTTTATGTAATCCACCATATACAATTCAATATGTGTTTTCAACAATGTCATTTTCTACGTGGTACACACTTGCCTTTTTCGCAGATATTTTGGGAAACAAAATGCCTGCCATATCTCAGATGCATAGTGTTATATAAAAATATTTAAAGTCTGGAACATTTGGAATTATTTTACTCCTTACAAAGCCTCACCATTGTTCAATCCAAAACATATATTTTCTACACCCCTACTAAAATGCAAACCTGTGTAAATGCCTTAAATATAAGCACAGATTTTACTTCAAATGAATGTTGATTTGTTAAAGATTCATTCTAAGAGACTATTGATACTATTTTCAGCTGTCTTTTCAACAACAATAAAATTTACGAATCCTTTTTTAAATAAATTTTGATATTCAGCTGTCTTACATGAAGTGACAGCTGTCATTTATTTGTACATCAATATTTCCATCAGAAACTACTAAATAAGCCAACAGGAATATAGTTACCAATGTCATATGGCATTCTAATTCTTATAATCCTATTTTGAATTTGCACGATTTTGTAGGAACATCTTACAAACTAATATATTGAAAAACTATCCTTTTATGGATGGTATTCACAATAAAATACACTATATTTTTCTTTTGAGACAGGGTCTTGCTATGTTGCTCAGGCTGGAGTGCAGTGACACAACCACAACTCACTTCTGCCTCAGCCTCCCAAGTAGCTGAGACTTCAGGCAGGTGCCACCATGCCTTACTAATTAAAAAAGAAAAATTGTATAGATGTGGTCTTACCATATTGCTCAGGCTAGTCTCAAACTCCTAGGCTCAAGCAATCCCCACGCCTTAGCTTCCCAAAGTGCTGGGATCACAGCCTTGATCCACCACATCTGACCTATCTTTCTTAAATATAAACATGCTTGACTGAATAAATATATTTTGCTATCAATTTCAGGTGTGTTCTATTTGCCTAACCTGTTGTAAGTGATTAGATAATTTAATTTTAATTATAATTATATAATTGTAATTATTAGTAACAGTTTTATTATGAAATTGGCAATTAGTCCTTAATTACAATAATTTCTAATATAGTCATGTCATCTATTCTTAAATTTTTCAATTTTTTTGTATTGTGAAAAACATAATGAAAGAACTCTATACACGGCTAAATTTGCATTCAACTATAAGAATAAAAAAATTTTTTTAATGTGCAAGTGTTCAGAATATAGCATAACCATACACTAAATACAAGATATTTGAAGAAGTAATTCAACAAAATGAGAAAAGAATAAAAAACTCAAAGATTTTAATAATAGAAATGTCATAGTATAAAGAAATTGTCTCCATGAAATAAAACTACTGAAATAGAAAATTGCTTGAATATTAATTTACTAAAAAATATAGTAGAAGAATCTTGAAAATGTGATATGAAAAGTATAAAATGATAACATGAACTAAAATTTTAGATTTCCTCACCTAAAACGTAGATATGAAATGAAATGAGTGAAGAGATGGAAGACAGGGGGTTGAATTTATTATAATACAGGGGTGGCTAATAGACACTAATATTTTTAAAAAATAATAGTTATACTATATTTACCTAAAAGCATATATCTACAATGAAAATAATGAATATACTAATAGAGGTTAAAAACAAAGTAGTCTAGATTGCAAAAATAAAAACACATAGAAGCAAAACAACAAGAAACCACTAAAAACAGTACATTACATAAAAAGGTAATATAGGATTAAATATTAGTTAAGATAATCAAAAGAAGTAAAAAACCTCCCATATTTATAGCAAATGCTCTTAAATATACCGTATAAATTTTCGACAGTATAATTTTGCCAAGAAATTATGAACCACTGCATTTTAAAAATCACATTTCAGAAAATAATTGTTATCAGGATATTATTTTATAAATTTTTAAGAGATATTGGGATGGGAAAAACAACATCATGCTTGTAAGCTCACTCATGTAAAGACATTGCTCCAGAAATTCTGTCCCCTCTTCCTCATATCATTATACTGTCCTTATTTCACTTTTATTCCCAACAGCATACAAGCATGATGCTGCTTTTCCCATTCTGATTTCTCTCTTTCTGAGTGCTTCAGTGTTCTCAGTGGAGAAGGAAGGTCGCTGGTTGAGAAGGAAGGTTGCAGGGAAAGGATTCCAAGGATGAGAAAGGAAGGGGTAGGAAAATCTTCCTGGAGAATGAGGTTGAACAACCAAGGGGAAGGCGCTCTCCTGCTAGGCAGAACTAAGGGTCTCTTTTTAGGCTTATGGAATGAATTTAAAGTGGAAACAGTCAGTATAGTTGTATTTTTTTCTTCTGCCATGCTTAGCTCCAGGGGTACTGGCACAAAATTTTGGAATAGAAGAGAAAGAGGAACTGAGCTGGAAACACAGGAGGTAGTGATCCAAGAGTAAAGTGCTTGAAATTGAGATGACAGAGAGGTTGCATTTAGGAGAGAAACTATACCACTGTGAGTCGCTATAAAGACATCATGCTTACACTTTGTGAAATACAGTGAACAGACTGATTCATAGTCATCTGTTCATTTTTTCCATGGATGTTATTGAAAATCTATATAGGAGAACACAATGGCCCCAGACCCTGCTATTATGAAGCTTACTTTAAGGGTAGGAAATAAATATTAATAATCATTCTAATTGAGATATGCAACCTATTATATTATATTACAGGAAGACTTCACCTAGTCTTGTAGAGAGCTTGATCAGTGGAGGTTTTATTGGAGGAAAGGGAATTTTAGCAGGGACATGAAGAATGAAAAGAGAGAAAGCTGCCTGTGCGAAGATGCCGAGTGCATTAGTAGAAATGAAAGTGGTAATTATGAGTGGAACAAAAAGATTTGCAGAGTGAGGAGAAACTAGCACAAGGTGAGCTGGAAAGAGGTGGTAGGAGTTAGCCTATGTAGGGATAGGACTACTAAAATGGCCTTTCCAATAGGGGCAATGGGTTGCTTGCGGACAGGAACATTTCAAGTTTACAATTTTAAAGTTTTGAGTGACCAGATTGGAGCTGTGCAAAAGTGAAAGACAGACAGAGAACACTGAAAGAGGTGTATTTGTTTATCTATAGAGACAAGGTCTCACTCTGTCGACCTGGCTGGAGGGCAGTAGCATGATCATAGCTCACTGCAGCCAGCCTCTAACTCCTGGGCTCAAAGGATAGGAGGGGCATTTTTGATGGAGGAAGAGAGTTCAGAACTTGTTTTTCCATATACTGAGTTTGAAGTGACTGAGTTATCTAAATGCCTATGTCAAGTAGATAAATATCAAAACCCAAATCATTTGCTAAGAGTAAGAAGGAAAGTCAGGAAGGGATTAGGCCTTTAAGAACAGAGAGTAAACTTCAGAAGTAGTTATGAGAAAGCTACACAAGATTGGTGCTGAGAAGGTATAGGATAAAAATGAAACAATTATGCCAATAGGCTATTTAAGCCAACAAGAAATATAGGCAGTTTAGTCTTTCAATGAAATGCATTGGGGATTTTAAGATGGAACAGTTTGGGGTGAGAAAAGGTACAAGACACACCCATGGAACCGAGAATGTCAGGTAGATGGGAGAACACCATTTGAGGCAAGTGGTCAAGGCATTAGTACCCTACATGGTTCACATGATCTGGCCCAGAGGTGAGTAAGTGAGCAACTTTTCTGCTTGAGAATGCTGCCGCAGGAGGTCTGGTTAAGGCAAATAGGTGGAAAAAGGTGAGACTTTGTAATAATTTGCTGTTCATAGATGAGGAATACCAAATAGCACAGTGAAAGGGTTCAGGGGAGTGTAAGAAGAGTAAGAAAACAGATCAGTGGAGAGGAGCCCCAGGACATTATGAGAAACACTTGGGAGTGGTTGGATGACTATAGGTCTGAGAGTAGAAGGAGTGCCAAGATTTTACCTCAGTAGATTCTGGAGGGTGGTGAGCTCTCAGTTCCCCAGGGCTGCTAAAGTCTGGAAAGGAAGTCTGGCTCTTTGTGATAAGGCAGGGAGCATGCTTTCTTGATCTCTTGGGGTGACAGCTGTGGGAAGCTCCTGGGAAGCTTTTCTTGTAACCAATCCAACAAGTTGAATTGCACTTTAATTCTCTAAAAAAGTTAACAGTTTTCTGGAAAAGAAGAAAAATTAATAGCTTTTAGTTATGATTGGAAGCATGAGTCACCTCATCCCCAAAGACTACTCCTGTGTCCTGTGGGCAGATCTAAAAATCAAAATCTCCAATGTAAAGTATGAATTTTCATTTTCTGCTACTTGATTTCACTTAACATTGGATAAAGTGGTATGTACCTCCACCATAAATGGAGACTCTTCAGCTGAGGTATCATACAGTCTTCCATTAGCCCATTCTCTTATTGAAAGTTGTTTTAGATAAAAGTCAATTTGTACAATCCATTTTGGCTAAATGAATCATGTTCATACTCTCATAAGTTGTACCTATATCATAAAAGCAATGACTAAACACTTCAAAGTCACTTTATATAATGTGAGTTTTTTCGCTTCTGGATAAGAAAAGTTATATGAGTTAGGTGGTTAGATTACTGCTAACGTGTGTGTGGAGGGTGCCATGCAAAGGCTATACTTTGAGTACTCAAGGGAAGCAGCAACAAAAAAAATCTTCAGCCACATGTTAATTACTTAACTGAACTTCTGCCCGAAACCTCTGCCTCATTTGTACCTTGGCCAATAGATTGAGACAATTTAGAGCCTTATCACACAGCATATATAAACATTAACTCAAAACTAATTAAAGACTTAAAACCTGAAACTGTAAAACTATTAGAAGAAAATATAGGAGGGAGAGCTCTATGACATTAGTCAGGGCAATAATTTTGGACATGGTCCCAAAAACACAGACAACAAAAGCAAAAATAGTCAAGTTGGACTACATCAAACTAAAAAGCTTCTGCTCAGCCACGGAAATAATCAACAAAGTAAAGTCACAAACTACTGAATGAAAGAAAATATTT